CACCACCCTCCCAGTAAAGAATTTCTTTGCAATATCTAATCTAAATCTACCCTTCATCTTAAAACCATTACCCCTCACCCTATCACTACAATCTCTGACAACGAGTCCCTCCTCATCTTTCCCATAAGGCCCACATTAGGTACTGGAAAGCCACAATAAGGTCTCCCTTCTTTTCTCCAGATGAACAATCCTAACTCTCTCAGCCTGTCCTCATAGGAGAGGGGCTCCAGTCCCCTTGATGATCTTTGTGGCCCTCTGGACCCACTCGAACAGGCCCATGTCTTTCCTGTGCTGGGGACTCCAGAGCTGGACACAAGACTCCAGGTGAGGTCTCACCAGGGCAGAGCAGAGGGGCAGGATCACCTCTCTCCATCTGCTGGCCATGCTGCTTTTGATGCAGTTGGCCTTCTGGGCTGCAAGCACACATTGCTGGCTCATGTCCATTTCTTAATCCACTAGTACCCCCAGGTCCTCTGGAGGGCTGCTCTCAATTGCTTCATTGCCCACCCCATGTTTTTGCTTGGGACTGCACTGACCCGAAAGAAGGAATTAAACTTTAGCTTTCAGATACTTCAAAATTTACACAGGTGCTGTAGCAGAAGCTACAGACAATCCAACTGATCATTTCAGAATAGGATTGAATAGCTCTCCAGTAAGACCCTGCCTAAATAACATTCACCATAAAGCAAACGTCTGAAGTACCTTATTTTTACATAAAAACTGAGGACTTTGACACATTATCCTCACCGCTATTTTTAACAAGTTGAAGCTTGTCTGCTGATATATGGCAACCATGCTAGGTACACGCACCTGGTCTCAGGGGAAAATCACTATTTAAGAATATTTAATTATCTAAAACATATTACTACTTAAATTACATGGAAGTTTATCAGACATGAGTCACGAAGAACATACACCATCACTAGAAAAATATATTTTTGTAGCCACTGAACCAATTTGCAGCTCTCAATAGAATACAATTCAGATCAGGTACACACACACACAAAAATATCAAAAAAGTTGAAGTTAACTGGATTTTAATAGTCTCCTTTGAGAAAGATTTACTTACATGTTTCAGTGAATTAATACTTTCAAACCAAATACATCATATTTCTTCCCTTTTCCCCCTCCCTAAATGTTTGAGTGAGTAATGAAAATCAGACTCCTGCTGGAGGAACTATCCATACAAAGTCTGAAATTAAAATCTGGTTCTAAGTATAGCTAAGACTGAGAGACCTTTGCTCAGTTCCTATACAATATCTGGCAACAAACCCCCTGTTCTAATAGCTACAATTTAGCTATGCTCACTTCACATGAAAAAGTGTCACTAAGCACAAAAATGTCTTTTTTTTTTTCTTTTTCTGCCCATGAATACTGCATAATGGGTAAATTTATAGCATATGCCTTTTATCTAGCTTTATAGTAGGAACTGGTTAAGTTAACTCTTCTTCACACCCCCTGAGCTTGCGAATAGGCAAAATTCTAGGAAAAAAAGTCACTCTTTCACATAACGTTCCTTACCAGTCTTTTACTAGCTCAACAGTTTTCATTAGCATCCAGCTATACAGAATACTAGGAAGAAATATTCTAAATGTTTTGGAAAACTATAATAAAGACACATCTGAAAGCAGAGTAAAAATGCATATAATCTTGAATGCTCACCACATTTGAAAAAGGAAAAACAAACGCTTTAGTTTGCATTTGAAAATCATGTCTTGGCTATGTCAATGTTCATAAATCCTAAGGTTTGCAGACACCACATTGTTTCAGTCTCATAATAAAACATTGAAACAGAAATTTCTTTGCTCAACAGTGCCATAAAAACATGTGCATTTAGCACTAAATGCTGCCTTTCAGGTTAAGCTGGAAAAGAAAAGCAATCCTGTGAAAAATCAACAGTCATACATTGCTTCTACAAATCAGTTTGAGCAGCACCATTAAATTCTCTTCTCTTTTGACATTCACAGATACCACTGTGGTATCTCAAGAGCACCTGCTATGCAGAACATCATGGTAAATATCTCTGAGTAACAACGCAAGGCACACTATTCCATATTTGATCCCTCCTATTTAATTTTTTTTTTTTTTTAATTTCAATGCATTCTGTAAAGAGATATTCAAACAAGTCCTATCCTAGTCATCTCAACTTAAGAACTGGCCATGGATTTTTACTTTAAATTTTGCAATTCAATCACGGGAACTGAATGTTAGGGTTGCTCAGCTGCTGGACTGAGATCTAGTTTATGTCCACTTTGCCAGTTGCAGTGTCTTGTACAAAATAATTACACAACATAATCACACCACTTTTTTACTTTAAGAAATTACCAGACTGAGTCCATAAATGCTCTCATCATGAAGCACCCTTTCCAGTCTCCAATATACTCCTGACTCTTGTCTGATACCCATACAACTTCTATTAAGCTCTGTATTAAAAGGTGAAAGATCTTACAAAACACTCGTACTGCTGCCAAATGAGAGGCATCCTCATCTCCTGTTCAGCATCAGTTCCCAGACTAGACACCACCATCCTGAAACACAAAGCCTGCAAGGCCTTGTTAATCCTAAAGCAAAGCAGAGTATTTCCTTTGCCCCAGTTTACCAAGCAACCCATGTAATCAGCATCAGAAACCTATCTTCTGCTACCTATCCATGTCCCTGTCTCTTATCAGAGGCAATTATCTGGTCATAGCACATTTTCTTTGAGATTACTGATTAAAAGTGGAAGATAACCAAGAATTAAATCTTGCAACATGCCATAAGGACCATCTGCTGCTCCCAATTATAGCATTCAGAAAAAAGCAAAATGTCACCAGAACTCTGGAATGGTTTGTTAATAGCAAGTAAATATATTCATACTTTCTAGTATACAAACAAGATGACACTTACCAGATATTGAGAATAATATCACTTTTAAATCCATTTAGCAAGTGTACTTTGTCTAGAAACTAGCACAATGAGAGCTAAACTACATTTCAAAACACTTTTCTCACAGAAGAAAACTCTTTATCATAGAAGTGCACTTTAGATGATCTATGTTCTTTAGCTGCTGGTACGTATAATGTAACATGCTTTAGCAGCCACTTCATTATTTAACCCATCACCAGTAATCACCATCCAGGGAATCACCCTTCATTTTGCTTTTTCTCACTCTTAAATATTTAGCCTTCTTTTGGATATCCTGTATTCTACAGCTAAATCACTCATTTAACCAGCAGGTCATGTCATCTGTTCATGGGATAGAAACAAGAGGTGGCTTTTCTCGTATTCTCAAGCTGCTCTTTTCTCCTGAGCAGACAGTAACTACCTACAGAGGAAGTTGCTTCCAGCTTCAGAAAGGCAGGAAAGGAGGAAACCCTAAATTCATCCCTATCCATTACATCTATTACTTTCACTGGCCCATTTATTTTGGAAAGCCAAGTGGAAACTTCCTGATTCTAGATTTTAATTTACTCAAATTACAGCCAAATTGGACAAATTAGAAAACCTCAGTGACGCTGGAAATGGGCTAGTGCTTTTTACATCTAGGTCTACAGATAGGTTTGTCTAGATCAGTTTTGACATAAGGTGGTAGAACAACAGACAACAAGCACTCAGATGCTGTTCTTTCTGATGCTTTGGACAGAGGCTTCCACAAGAGATAAGAAAATCTATACCCACACTTTCCTTTGTAATGCAAACCTAAATGCATGTATACAGCTCACTTCCCTCACAATTTATGGGTGGCTTAAGGCACGATGGGAAGCTTCTTCTATCAGTAGTTCTACGTCTGAAAAGAAATGTGGTTTCAGTCTCTTGAACCCTAGCTAGCATGTTGCACAGAGCCAGCCCTTAGCAACAAGTAGGGAAGGGAGAGTAATGGATAAAGACTAAGAATTAAAATCAAATCTGCTGAACAATATGGATATGCTTTGAGGTGACCACAATGACCAACAGAACACCTAGAAACAAAATTAACATATTCCTGCTGAACCAGAATTCATTTCCATCATCATACTTCCCATTTTATACATTATGAAAATGACTGGATCTAGAGAAACCAGTCCAGATTACAGGTCTGAAACCACAAATCCAGGAATACACACAGTTCTTTCTGGTTCAGCTGAGTGGAGCAGAAAGCCACCAGCAAAATGCTTCTAAGTTACCTTAAAAGGGCCCCACAGATGGGGAAGTTAGCTGAGTACTCCCCCAAAGCCTCCCTCTCAGAAGCCACTCTGGGTAAGGAAGCTTGCACATATGCATTCGGCTCTGCACCAACCACGTTCATCACCAACATGTCACTCTTTGAGGCTGACACCTGCTTTAAGAGAGCCACAGCTTTAAGTGGTTTCTTTGTGTACCCCAGAGCTACAACAGGCATGGCAATGGGGTTGCTTCCAAACTACCATGGCTATAAGAGAGGCAGCAGACCAGGTGCAGGGGTTATGCTACCCTTCCCTGAGGAAGGAAAGGCATACAAGCTCTAAGATGAGATAAAAGGCAGATCAGCCCAGGTAGCAATCATAGTTTTTCTTAATATCCATTCTTGATTTTGAGCATGAAACTTGAGACTCCAAATTACTAGCAGCTCTAAGACAAGCATCTGCTGTAGCCTTTCCTAATGTAAGTATTACACAGCAATAAGGTCTTAAAAAGTATGACTTAAAGCCCAATAACCTGAAAATATAAATTACAAATATATTCAGCAAGACCTACTAAAAAAAGAATGAGAGAAGAGAATATAAATTAAAAGAAAACATGACTACTACCACGACGGTAAGACAGCAAACAACTTATCTGGATAACTAGGGGGAATCAGAAGGGAAGACCACACTATCTCCTAATTCTATATACAAGCAGTACAGAAGCTTGAAGACATGAGAAAAATATAGTCATTACAACAAAAGAGTCTGCAGCCATGAGCGTAGAGAACTATGCATTCCTTCTGTGTGAATGAACAATTCCCTGAAGGAATTTATGCACGTGCATGCACCCAGTTACTCACACGCATAAGTAAATTTTACCTGAGCAGGAGGTACAGCAGCTGCTGGTAAAGGATTAGAGATCATTGGACCGAAGATATCCAGGTCATCATTCAGCGCTGTGACAGCAGCAGTGCCTCCGTTTGTCACAGAGGCTTCAGCTGGACCATCTTAAAAAGCCAAAAGAATCACATTTAAAGTGAAAACTGTTAGTATTTTTAACGGCATGAGAATTAATTAAAGCTGCCTATAAACTCCTACCCTGCCCCCGTCAAAGATGTATTCAATTTCTGAAATAAGGCATTTTTCAGACTGTGATATTGTTCAGATTTTGTGAGGACTTTTTTTTCCCTAAAAAGACTAGTATAACTAGTGTGCTTCAGAAGAAAAAAAACCAAAACAACAACAAAACAGTTAAAGACTTTCCTAAGGACAGCCACACCAACTTATCAATACACAACTAATTTTTCAAGAGTCTTTTTTAAACAATCCAATATTTTTAGTAAGAATTTAAACGGATGTCTTACTGAGAAGGCCCAAACTTGGCAGTCGTGTATCAGACAAAGTACGTCAATCTGTGCTCCTGAATTAAAATCTGTATTTTATCCACAGTTTGCATTAGGAAAAATGTCCATGCTTCTCCCTTTTTCAAAAGTGCTTTATTCTATAGCTCCAGCCCTGCCAGGCACACTGAACTCATTATCCACCAGAACATGCAGCTCTTGCTCTGTACAGAGGTAAACTTCCACAGCCTTCGTGCCTGTAACCACTGTAACACAGGAATACATTTAGCTATCTAGGTGAAAGTGGACAGTGCAGGAGAAAAAAAGGGCCAAAGACTTTAAGGAGAATTGCAAGAAAATACTTTAAAAGATGTAAGGACAAAAATATCACAAAATTGTTTTCATTAATGGATCAATCATTTCTCATTTGATTTTAAGCTGTCTGAGAACAAGTGGAAAGAATTTGTTAATAAATTTTATTCCTAAGCATATCATAAGTGGGTTCCCATTACACAGAATTCAACAAATATAAAAGTGAGTCTGGATTCTGTAGAACACTATGATGACTGCATAGTGTAAATATAAAATTTAAGAACGCTTTTTTAGCCAAAAAAGAAGTTAAATCTCAAAGTATCCAATGCTCACTGCAGAAGTCAGACTTCTCTGGCAAAAGAAACTAGACGAATTAAGTCAAAACTTTATCTCCAAACAAAACACTGCTATGACAACAGGCATGGCTGTTTGTATATCACAGAAGGATCAGTATTCTAAAATCCCTAGGTTACAGTACACTGGAAAAACTACTACTAATATAATAAAACAATTTCTACCTGATGCTTTAGCACGTTTAAAGAACAAAACTCCTTATAGCTGCATGTCTTGTATCCACTACTCCCATTACTCAGAGTAAGTTTATATAAAGCAAATTTTAAATTACTTAGCATCATAATTAAAAGATTTGGGATTGTTTGTTTTTAAAGTCACACAATTGCACACAGGTAGCAAACTTCAAAACACATTTACAAAGTAACACAGAAATATATTCTAAATTTTAAACACAACAGAATACAGATCTCCACCTTTAAACTTCAAAAAGCATCAAGGACATTAACAAATAGCTGCTAGTTACCAGAACAGCCACTTTACTTTGTCCTTTAACCAACCTGTAAGAAGTAACTTTCCAGCGACCTATACCCATGACAGTTATCTACCTGAGTGAAAAGATCCATTTCAAGAGCAGAGGTAAATCCCTGGATATCAGCATTAACAGCTGAGTGCTAACACATGAAACGTGTGTCTTACTACCCCAGAGAAACAGGTAAGGCTGAAGGCAGGTGTGAGTTTCAAGCATTTTTAAGTTTCTAGAGTTCTAATGCGGACAGGGAAGTGGTCTGATTAGTAAAGAATAAGGTGTATGGATGCAGTATTTAATTAAAATCAAATCACAGGAAGCTTCCAACACTTACTTAAAATAATACAACACCATCTCTAATGTAATTAGAACATTCTTTCCCATTATCACAGAAGAAGTGGTATTTTATTTTTCTAAGAAAACAGAGGTAACTGAACAAGAGAGTAAGCTTATTTCTTAGAAAGAAGGACTCTGCTCTCTTCTACTTTCTTAAGAACAGAAATAACTGGCAGACTATTTCAAGATTTGTCTCCCTGCACATCAAAAATTACTATTTATTACTTTGTTCTGCCATATGCAAACTTACTGCAGTTGGAGACTACCCTTCTGGGATGTCCAGGACATTGACAAGTTGGAATAAAATAGCAGAAACAATAAAAAGCACCAGTCACTTTACTAGCCAGGAAATCACTTGGCTGAGGAAACTATCACAGAAGACGAACAAGATTTTTGGCTGTTAACTCATATGAGAAGATCCTGCGTTCTGAAACAATCCCCTGAGATCGCCACTCAGAGGTGCCTTCTCATTTCTGTCTGCCTTCCAAATTCTGTGGAACATGGCCTCCCCTTTAGCTGCCTTGCATGGAAGTGTTTATTTATTTTAAAAAACTGTCACTGCTGTATATTTAAAAACTTGACACAGAAGCCAAAACCCACCAATGTGGAACACATCAGAAGCTACCACCATCCACACGTATCTGATTTCAGTCTTACTGCAGAGATGCTAACCTTTGTGCCTTAGTATGTGTAGGAAATGTGGCACAGCTATAGCTGCTACAGAAACCACAACACTGAACAGACTTCAGTATATGTAAAGTCACCAGAATGCTTTTTAAGCAAGTTTTTCATACAAAGCATTATGAAACAACCAAGAGGATGGGTGCTGGTTTGAAATTCTTTGGGAGTTGTATGCTTGCTTTTGTGACTACTTCAGATACACACATTATTTTATGCTCTTAGTATCAAACATGAACCTTTATAGTTTGGTATTTGCTAATTCTTAAATCCACTTAATGTCAGTGGGAAACTGAGACCAAACTGTGCATGCTAGCAACAGCAAGCAGACCCAGTAGCAAGGACCAGAATAGCTTGAAGGCAGGGATATGAGAAGGACAAAGGGAGTGGCATCAAGAAGCTGAACCTCAGCAAGTATATTTATTCCCCAAACTTGTGCAAAGTTCCTGAGCATAGTTGTGCTGTCTGCAAGAACTAAGAAAGACCCAACAACTCCACAAAGGCAAAATGGCCATCAGAATGGTTTGGCAATATTAAATCTTCTTCTATGCCGAGTAAAGAGTGAGTGGCTTGAACAATAACCTTAGGAGTGAAGTAGCCACCTCGGCCAATTTTACTACTATGTCATGATTTGACATTGCTGGGAAGATTACCATTCCAACAATTCTGAAAAGCAAAGTTACAAACTCTTCTATGATTATGACAAAGCTACTTACATCTTAGTGCAAAAGTCTCCTCCACCCCTTATTTCTTTTCTAATGAATGCAAGTCAGTGGACAGCAAAATGAGCACGTGTATAATCTGCTCCACCATCCCAGCCACATCAGTGCTTTAAGATGTGTGTAAATAAATACACTGGCAAGTTAAGTAACAAGCTTCTTTAGAGCTCATTCCACAGATAGGCAGTTCCAAAAACATCTCCCCAAAGGTTCACTGTTTCAGATAAATTTAGGAATGAACCGTGCATAATTTTCATGCCAAAGGATTGTCTGGAATTAATAATTTAGTGTTCTCATTTTCTCAGTGAGGCACACGTACGAAAAAAGTCTCTCTCTTGTCAAATTCCAAAGTGGTTCAGTTTCCCTGGATGTAAAAAAGTTTAATATTGAATGAAAATTTAAAGGTAATCATTTACAAAAACCAACATTTCACATATTTAGAACATTCACAAAAGAACATATTTGCAAGAACATAGTATTTTTCAAGTATGTAATAGACTGCTTACAAATTAATACTATGAAACCCTAGGTTATTGCTAGATTGCTGCTGTATGAGTGTTATTTGGCAATATACATACCTCTGATCTGTTACAGAATTTTACACTAAAAATAAGTGTTTCCCTGTCTGTAGCAGTGCAAAAACCACTGCAGAATTACCATTCACAACACAGTTTTAAGGTGGTATAAGTGGTATTAACAGATGATCCCCTCTTACTGATCTCTCACAAATATAACAGTTGGAATGTTTATATCTATTAAAGAGCAACTCTGAAAAAATTTTCCCCCCATGAAACTCTGATATTTTAGATTTCATAAATAATTAAATTTCAGAATATAGAAAAAACAGTCCTTTCAATCCAGTTTATTACTTGTAGCAATATTAGTATCCTCATTTAAAGGTACGTATGCAGGCATATGCAGACTTGTGTTTAAACGTAATAGTTCACACTTATACAGAGAGTGCACCAGGTCACGAATTAGGAAGGACTTTCTCCTTTCCATCCTCATTTTAAAATATTTCTGTAGTATAAGGAAGATACTCCAGTGGAGTTCTGAGTTCTAAATTATTCTAACTTTCTTTCAACTTGGGCTGCCTACCATTAAAAACTGATTAGAAAAGGTGGCATGTATTTGACAAAAGGAAACATGGGTGTAGTCTTTACAGAGAACACGTAAAAATCAGATTTAGTTATATAGGCCTGCCTGAACATTTAGAGAAATTTATAGCTTCAACCATCACAGAATTACTTTGAAACAAATAACTTTTAATCAACTGCTTTTCTGGAGACTGCATCCATAGCTAGGAATGAAGTCCTAAACATGGCAGAAGCCACTGCAATGAGAGCACAGGCAAGCCAGAGCTTCTACCTTCAGTCAGAGAACCTAACATGGAAAGTCAATAGATGCTGTTCTTCGTTGTTACTCTAACCTGTGGTTCCAAAACTTGTCTTTTTACCATTTATGACAATATGACAGGCAACATCCACCTGCTGTCCGCCATAATATGCAATTGCCTATTTTATGAAGGGCACATCTAAACACAGTGAATACTGGAGAATATGTAAGATGCACTTTCCTTCTTTCTGATAATTCTGTAAGATAATATAGTTTTGTTTTGTATGTCAAAATAATTTCTAAGTGACATACCTTGACAAACAGAATGGTCTAAAATTGCCTGTGTAATATTCCAAGAAAAGATTCCCACTATCGTACATAACTATCATACAATTTTTTACACGTATTCTAAAAAACTGTATTTACATCAGTCTGGCATAAGTGGAGAAATCTACCTTGTAAGGCAAAACCCCAAAAAGGGGCTCAGAGTGCAAGGTTAACACCAGAGAGATGAAAACACAGCACTGCCAATGACTTCAGTGCTGAAGAACTGTGGCTTACACATTGGGACTTTGAAACTGAAAAATATTACCAATAATTCTCCTATTAAAAATTAACGTTATGAAATCCCATATTATTGATTTTAGCATTAATTTTAAGTACCCACATTTTCAACAGGGCACTCTTTCCATGTGGACAAGTTCCAAATAATTGTAGAGACTGCTAAAAATGCAGCTTCAGTTTCAGCCTACCGAAATAGGCTGGGATTTCTCACAGCTTGGGAAGAGAGGGAGGGAATTTGGACTTGCACAGCAAGAGCAGTAACAGGATTGATTGTGAAGAACACACAAATATTTAGCTTGTACATGGCCATTTCCCCAGCTTTCTCTGTGTGGAATCTACTCTAAATCAAAAGGCCAAAAGCCACAAATGTTGTTGGATCATCAAAAAGTGAATATCCAAACATCATCTCAATAACAAACCCCCTGAACAGGAACTCAAGGGAACCACATGAATCTATTTTAAAAGACTCAAAAGAAACAAACATGACAGTACAGTCACTGAGGATATTATGCCTCTTCTGATCTTACAAGATTTGAAGATACAATTTGCCTAGGCATATTATCATGACAATGTTGCAGTTTGTAAAGAAAAACAAAAAACAATTTATTCTTAGAAAATTATCTTGTCTAGCTACAATTTTCACTGGGTAAGTCTTATCTAACAGGATATTCACCTTCTGATGAGGTCACTATTACAAACCCAACTGAGATAAAAAGAGATATGACCCAAAGGTTAATATCAGACCCAAAGCTAGCACTGAAGCTTACTAAGAAAGTACTTTAAGAAACTGGGCTGTTTTCAAAGCCAATATTGTTCCAGCATGAATTGTGGTCCACTGAAATTACTTAATCCGCTATCATAAGAGATTCTGATCTGACCTACTAAAAGCTACTGCTCTTCTTCATTTGCAGAAATTAAGTCCTAAGAGGATGAATCCTCATTAGAAACATGTCCGCTCAGTAAGAAGAATGAGCTATGCAGTCATATCCATTTTAATATCGTTTGATATGACATATCAAACATCTTTATCAGCAGGGTGCCACTGCAGCAACCAAGGCAAATGGGTTTCTGGGTGGCATCTGCAGGGGCACTAGTAACTGAGATAGACATGTCACCCCACTCTACTCAGTGCCTGTCAGGCTGCACCTGGAGTACGTGACCAGTTCTGGTCCCCACAATTCAAGAAAGACACAGACAGACTGAAGAGGTTCCAAATGAGGGCCACAAAGATAGTTAAAGGGCTGGACAACCTGCCCTATGAGGAAAGACTGAAGGAGTTAGGTCTTCTCTTCCTGGAGAAAAGAAGGCTCAGGGGGATCTCATCCCAGTATGCCAGTACTTAAAGGGCAGCTACAAAAAGGACAAAGGCTCTCTCTTCACAAGAAGCTACACGGAGAAGACAAGGGGCAATGGGTACAATTTGAACCAGGAGAAGTTTCACCTAGACACAGGAAAGAAGTACTTTACAATGAGATCAATTACTGGAGCAACCTCCCCACAGATGTAGTAGAGTTCCCATCACTGGAGGTTTTCGAGATGCAGTCGTACAGGATTAGAGGTAACCTCATCTACGCTCCCCTTCCCAGAGGCTGGACCAGATGGTCTTTTGAGGTCCCTTCCAGCCTGGGCTGTTTTATTGTTCTATGATATATTCAGTTGAACTGATCTTTATTTTAATGCTATCTGAAGTAGTCTACCACAGGCACTAATTAAAAGAGAACTCTCCAAATGAAATATGCAGGTCTGCTCTCATTAACACACATCTCATTTGCAGCTCAGTGGAGTCTGAGCGCTACTAGCTTATTACACTGCCTTTCAATTTGTTATTTAAAAAATCTTTAAACACTCCCTCCTCTAAAATTATGGGGGTTTAACATACAAATTATAAACTTTGCCCTTTGTATATCTCACTGAAGAAGCACAGCTGTTGAACATCAATTATCATACTCTTTCTATTGCATATTACATCTCAAGTTAGCCTATGTAATCTGAGTTCATTTTCATATCATAAAACAGCATTACCAAAATTCTTTTCAAATTATGACTAAAAGGATACAGGAGCCTAGCAATCTCAACCCCCCATATTGATTAAATTTTAGTTCTTAATTGGGTTGTTGGTCTGCTAAAGGAAAATACAGGAGAATCAGCTTTCCATCAAATCTGAATTATCTCTCTTTTTTTTTTTTAATAGGTTCATTCTACATCCATGATGTAACTTGTACTGTGTTAATTAAGATTTGCTTGCCTATGGTAGCAGATTACTTGGAACGAGATATGGATCACAACACATACATAATCAGCACAAACCCAGTATTTACAGCTACTCTACATTCAGAGAAAAAATAACATGCATTTTGAATGACAGTGCGAGTTCTAAAACAGAGATGTTTACTGTTTTGTTGCAACATTATTCATACCTTAAAACCAAAAAATTAAAAACCAACAAAACATTTTTCTAAGTCAAGATTTTAGAACAATTACATTTAAAAGACTTATCAGCCTCCTCCAACATCCTATTAAAAATGTGAAGAAATTTAAGAATAATCATTATATTGATATAAATTGAATACTCACAACTCAGAAAATTTCCCTAATACTGAACAAAAGGAAATAAAGTTACTGTAATATTTCTATCTTCCAGTTCCATTTTAAGATTCTACCAAACTGAAAAAAGCACGCTTACAGTAACACTAGATAAATGAAAGTCATATTTTATGAATATGGCCTTCAACAAGCATTTTTTCAAAAAAGCATAAAGACACAATAGTATAGTCAGACAGTGCAAATTAAATGATTCAGGTCCAAACCAGTTTATTTGCAAGACATGTACAGTTACCTGCCAGTCCAAAACCAAAAAGGTGTATTAGATAAAAATTAATGATGGTCACAGTCAGTACACAACACTGAAATGCCCAAAGTATTAAGTTTTACAAGATACGAGTCAGCTGCAGTTAGACAGTTTACTGCTTTTTAACTAATATAGGAATTTTATGATACAAAATATTTTACAGATACACAATTCAGATGAGCTCATCATTTCATTACAAAGTATGTTTTTACCATAAACATTGAAATACTGCAATCCGAAAGCCCTTTGAAGATCAATTTGATAACTTCTCCTTCCCACAGGAGCTCATTACTCTCCTTAGCAAAACACTGTTATTGATATACCCAGATCCCTGTGGCATTTTCCTTTATAGTTTCAAATTCATAGACTCAATCTTACGGTTTTCAAATTCATCTAACTGTGCGTAAGCTCAGAGAAAATGAAAGTCTATTTATTAAAATGCAAAACAATCTATCTGGATTTGGTTTAAAAACAGGTAATTATGTACTGCTTACCGAGTCCTAAAAGGTCAATAGTAGGTTCTGATGACTTTTTTGGACTTGCTTTAGCTTCTGATTGCGGATCTTCTTTCTTCTGTGGCTTTAAAGGAAAACAAAACAAACACAAGTAACCTTTCTGGAAAAGATGCAGTGCTTAAAAAATTCTCATTAAAGATGTTGCTCCAGTATCAGATCTAATTTCCTATATTTGTTTATCATAATGAATTTGGTTTGTAATGAAATAAGTTGCAGTTATGGTCATAAGGGAGAAGACAAATGACTGTAAAAAATTATCCTTATACCTTCACTGATATGTAACTAATTGTTAACTAAATCTAGGTTCCAGGATAGGTTAAAAATAAACTGAAATCTTAAACTGAATCACTGCATATAAAGCACTAGGCTGAAAGCTGTCTGTCATTTCATTTATTGACTAATTTTAGCATTCAAACTACACAGTTCTGCAGCATTAAACAGAAAAATCTTCACATTTTTAGAAGCTTAAATTTAAAAATTAGAAGCAGACTAATGACATTATTTAGCCTCCCTGAAAAGAGGGTGTGCAGAACATGCAGACTTTACAGATGCTAAGCACTGATGGACACAATCTGTGTTCGTGATCTTTTCCTTTGTAAACCGGAAGGCAAATAACAGCATCCTTCTCTTTTGGAAAAGGGAACTCCTAGTCTTCTATTGCCTAGAGACTTCAAAATGAAAGATGGGATTGACATGAAAGTTGATGATGAAAATGACTTTATAAATCTGGTTATAGTTCTTCTTGTACCGATATCAGGCTGATCACTCAAATCCACCAAAACATCGATTTTAAAAATGAATACAAACTGTTTATAGTAGTCACAGGACAAATGGCATTCTCCTGAATGCATTTAATACATATTTACTCCATACTTATCACAAAAACACGAAGTGGCTTGGTTGATTGTTGAGTACAGTCTTTAACTAGAACAGATTACCAAATAATGGTGGTGGAGCACTGTCAGGCTGGGCACTGGGCTCACCCCAACTGAATCTGCTCCTCTCTCTCCTTTATCACCCTCATAACATGGCTTTGACAGAGTCACTGAAGCTCCCAAGGTTGCTGAAGTCATTAAATCTTAGTATTTAGTATTAGGAGAACTTCATAGATCAACACATGGGAAGTTCCCCTTATTTAAGTAATCCTTTCCTTTCCTTGCCTGCAAACTAGGGGTAAAGAGTAACAAATCTTGGTGCTTGTAAAGAGAATTGAGAAAACTCAGCAGTATTCAAAGATGGCCCAAGCGAACAGAAGCCTATCACACTACCAACACTTCTCTTCTGTGAGCAAGCCCCCACTGAAAACCTCCAGGGAAGAGGTACAACGCACTGAGCTCCATTTCTGCAGCTACAGGGAACAGGCACCTTCACACCCAGACTGATCCTTGCTAATCTCTCAGAGAAATGCTTGCACTTGACAAAAATCCTTATGCTGACTTTACACAGCTTCTTCAAGGCCAAAATAGTTTGGAAAACCACCTACTGGAAAAATATTCCCTGAGTTCCCTGCTTCTACACTGTATTAAAACTTTCATCTCCAAGTATGTAGCACACTGATTCCAAATGCTACTCAATATTGCAGAGAACAAAAATCCTTATAATTGGTATGAGAAAAAAGTATGGGTTTTGGAAGTGAATTTTTCCATATCAAGAGTTTTTAAAAGTAACCATACAAAATCAAGTTTACTACCACTGACCATACCTCAGTAAATATGCCATAAAACTGAAATTATTATTATGAATGACAATCAGAATTAACAGTAAGTATTTCAGAACAGAATTTATAATAAAAATCTGTACATCTGGTTCTTCTCCAGCTCTGCAGGGAACACCACAGGTCACAGAAGCTGCAAAAAGAAGCATTTCTGATATGTTGCTTTATTTCATGAAACTGATTTGGTTTTGCTTAAGGAGCTTAACAATTCTGAATATAGAACAACAACTTCTTTAAACTGAAAAACAAAACTGTTAGAATTATATTAAATGTGCAAATTTTCATTACTCCAGATTAGATTTATGATGACTACCTAAAAGCACAAGTTTGAAACACATTAAAGCTTGACAGAGTTGGTTTAGAATGCAAAATTTTCACAGAAACCAGAACACTTTTGCATAGATCAGTAAGAACTAAACAGATAGATTTCAAAGAGCTCTTTTTTACTTAGTACTTATTACTGTAGCAAATTCGTCTCATTACCTAAAGCAGAAATTAAAAAATACAGTAGGAATAATCTACTTCGGTCCCCTGCTTTGTCAAATGAATACTTTCAAAAATTATTAAATGCATATTTTGGTTTCATCACTCTCTAAGTAAGGTGATGAAGATACAAGGTATAAAAATATACATTTCTGTGAAAAAGATCCTTTAAGATACTCACTTCCAATATCATTATTATATATCTTCATCAACAGTTTCTTTCCCATTTTGCTCTCTTGCCAGTACATAAACTAATAGGCTTTAAGGTTACTTTAAGAAAAACTACAAAATTAATTTCAAGCTTGCTAGTACAGCAAATATTTCTAGACATTAATACTGCATTCATTTCCTTGATGGAGATTGTCTCCTTAAAGCACAATTCATCTCCTTTACAGCTTACACAGTTTTCACCAACACACTAACTCTCAGTATGAGAAATGAAGAAGAATCTAACCATCTACCAGTACTTCATCTGTACAGTCGTGGTCACACAAAGCAATATTCAGCAGCTATCTGGAACAAAAACCCCTTCCTCTTACCCTTAATTTTATCTGCAATACTATGTTGTTCCTCCATTCTCTCACCACAACAAACACCAGTTGCTGGAGTTTCCCATCCTGCTGTTTGAGATTTCAGAAATCCAGTATGTCTTTACTTCTGCCTATGTTTCATGCCACATACGAGGGCATTTGTTCACGTTCAGAAGACACCTGTTTGGTGCTTAAGGTCTGACATGATTCAGAGATGGATGGGGACTTCTCTGAAGTCACCCACACCTAGGCATAAATTAAGGAAGGTTGGCACTAACAGGATGAGTTAGAACAAGGAACTTGTATGCACGCATTTATTCTTAATTTAAGAATATTTAAAGAACCCCCCTTTACAATGCTGTTTCTTAAGACAGCCTTGTTCTCTCTTTGGCCCCATGGATCTTGGGCTCCCTGACCGTACTGTGACCTACTTGAAGAAGGTCTGATGAAAAGCAATGCTGTACTGAAGCGTTCTGCAGCAAAGATCATGCCATATTTCTGGGTCTGGAGCAGTGGACCTCCAGAGGTACCTTTCAGAGCATGTAATTCTGGCATAAGCAACATCTTGAAACCCAGAAAAGAACAAAATGGGAAGTCACAGCGGAGGCACTGGAAAATTTTATTCCAAATCATAAAGAGAAATGTAATCTTTAATTTCTTTTTAGTAGTTTTGCTGCAACAGGACTCACACATGACTAAACTTTATATAGAGTGGTCTTTTGAGATGTTAAAGCTAAGTATTGCATACAGTGAGCACAGAAGTGTGCAACAGGCAAAAAAATGAAAAATTAGGCAGTGACATTTCTTAAACTTAATGTTTAATTTAGTGTTGTGCTTTATCTAAAAATTACCACATTTTGTAGAGGTGCAATATAGCATGACAAATGCTCGGGAATCCTGATGAACTAAGATTCATCTCAGTTTCTATTACTAGTCTGCTTGGCTCCCACAGCAATTATTTTTAAGTATTGACACCAGTACTAGATAAACTATTCTTCATTGAGACTTATGGAAAAAGGCTGCATAAAAATAGAAGACTAAGCAGCATTAAATAAATTAAAAATAGCATTAAAAATCTGTTCTAAAAAAGCCAAGCAGAAGGGAACAGGTACACAACTTTGTGCATTTATTTTCAAGTGGAACCTGCAAGATTACTGGGGCTACTATTTTTTTACAACATTCAAGGTTGGCTTATCAACACACATGGTTTTATTGAGTGAAGTACGTGGTTATAGCAATTCCTGGATACATTTACTTCAGGTTGTACATTAACAGCTTCTTATTCAAAATCATCTTTATGTTATTAATGCATTCTTCTGAAGCAGTGTCCTTGCAAACAGCAAAACATCAAAACATCTTTGATATGCAGGCCCTACATTTTCATTTTTCACAGTTGTCACTACGCTGTTCTTCAAGGTTGCTCTCATGTTGGAGTATCCATTGAAAGCAAGCAATGTCCTCTGCCTTAAATTATTCTAAGATTACTGAAAACAGTTTATTTGCAAATGTCACTGAAACTGCAGCCAGAACAAGCTTCTAGGGAGTCAATTCTTTTATATCCTCCACACGATCGGCTTATTACCTAGCATGACTTGCAATTTTCTGCCTTAAGAAAAACTGAGCCCCTGTTTTGAAAAGAGCCACAATAACCCATTTAAGTTATCCCTTGTTCAGCACGTGTTAGGCACTTCTGCCCACTTAAAGAGGCAAATAAAGAATTAACATTGCAATCTCTTAGAAATATTTTCACCTATAAAGCACAACTCTTCAGTAGAGGAGCAGGGACACACTCAGTATTCAGATCCAGTGTGTGCATCATAAACTTTTGCAATCCCACAGATGAGAGGCAATCAGGATACAGCAATCCTTTACTGGTGTTTTTTTCCACCACCATCCTCTTAACCATTTCTTAAGTATTTCCTTCTCTCATTTCTATCTTCAGTGGTAAGAAGGAAGATCCAGGGAACTACCAGCCACTCAACCTCACCTCAATACCTAGGATGGTGCTGGAAGAACTAATCCCAGAAATCATTTCCAAGCAAGTGAAGGACAACAAGGTGACTGGGAGGAATCAGCATGGCGGCACCACGACGAAGTCCTCTTTGACCAGCTTGGTAACTTTCTGCAATGTCACGACTGGTTTAGTAGACAAGGGGAGAGTAGTGCATATTGTCTACCTTGACTTCAGAGTAAGGCTTTTGACACTTATCTCCCACAAGATCCTTGTAGAGAAGCTGATGAAGTATGGGCTTGATGAGCAGAGAGTGATGTGGAGGAAAACTAACTGCATGGCCAGATCCAGAAGGTGATGATTAGTCTAGTTAGAGTCCAGTCACT